GTTTTCATTATTTTATTTTATACAATACAGCTAGACATATTTAATATTTAATACTATAAGGTTTGAAATCTAAATGCATCTTAGAGAAATGATCAACTTTAACTTTAAGATGATTTTGAAAATCTGTTACAGTATTTCCCTATTTCCCTGGCAACCAAAAAAAATTTTAAGTGGTAAAAAAAATTATTAATTTGTTAAGGGCAATTCTGAAGGGTCGATAGGAATCAAACAAATCATTTCTTATTGTTGGCCTTAACAAATTTTTATTTTTCTAATTGGGTAAGGACCTTTCCCTTACAGAAAATTCCTGGATCAGCATCTGTACTTCACAACATTGTTTTCAAAAGCATTGAATAAAAAGTCAAAATCTGAAATATACACACATAACTTTTCTCCCTTTTTGTGATACAGATGAAGGCAAATTGTAGGAGGAATTAAGAAAGATTGAAAGTTTTCTGTTACACCCCCACTAAAAAGAGGGTTTTTAGTTGTGGATTTTTTCCTACATGTAGCCTTTTTGCAACATTTAAATAGAAGTAAAACATGATTTTTTGTTCTTTAAATTCGGGATGGGGTGTAAACGGCGTTATTTTATATTTATACCAAAATCAATCAAGTGAAAACACTCATTGTATAAAAATTATGAATGACATAAATCCTGTTTAAAATTGCATTACATGACTGCTTTGACTATGGGTTAGGGGACGAACACTTGATTCGAAGGGGTTTTGGATTTTTCCGAGTCAGATTATTTATTTTCATGGTTGTGAAGGACAGATAATTTATTTTCAAGATAATCCAGGACAGATTATTTATTATACCCCACGCAACTTGTTGCATGGGGTATAATGTTTTGACCTGTCCATCAGTCAGTCAGTCCGTCAGTCCTGTGTTTTTGTCAGCGCAACTCCTCTTAAACAGCTGCACAGAATTTTGTCAAACTTTGCAAGATATTTAGGATACAGTGTGTAGTTATGCATATTTGCAGGAAATTCCTATTCCATTATTTTTCTTGGAATTTTGGCACTTTTCAACTTAGATTTTTGGCCATATCTTGAATAAAGAGAGGAACAGTTTGTCAGTGCAACTGCTCTTAAACCGCTCTACAGAGTTTCATCAAACTTTGCAAATATTTAGGACACAGTGTATAGATGAGCATATTGCCAGGAAATTCCAATTCCATTATTTTTCTTTTAGAGTTTTGGCTATTAATGAAGAAACTCTCCAGCTAAGTAATAAGGAAATCTACTGGAATCAGCTTTTGTAATGAAACTTTTTGTGAAATATTTTATGACCTTTAAAAACCCCTTCAAATCAGTGCTTTGCCTTAAATAATTTCATAAGTACAGTATATACCAGGGTAATTAAATTTATATGACTACATCATAATTCTGTTTCCATCAGTTATTTAAAGGTGTTAATTGTCATTTGTTGGACATGGACTTACACTCATTAACAAATTGAAATCACTGAGGAATTTAAATAACAGTTTGTCAGCATAACTCCTGCACTGAATTTCCTGAGACTTTGTAGGTATTTCAGACATAATGTTTGATTGGTATATTACCAAGAAATTTTGATTTCATTATTTATCTAGAAACTTCAGCCCGATTAAATTTGTAACAGACAAAGATTTGAATAACCTGATATGCAAGAAGTTTTGATGTGATGATTTTTTGCAAGTAATGCTCCTTTTTGAATTTACCGGTATACTGTGTATTTAAAGTGCACCTTGCCATTCATTACGTGTTGCATTGTCAAGTTTTTGGGGGACGTGGGGTATATTAGCTTGCTCACTTTTTCACTTTTTCTTTCATTTTCTTCTTCACTGAAAAAAGTCTGACTAGCTAAAACAAAAAGGGAAAAAGCCAAAACTCTATTTCATGAGAAGGGGGGGGGGGGGTTGTAGCACTTATCAAGGAAAGATTATTTATTTTCCTGCCAGTCGAAGACAAATTAATTATTTTCAACATTTTCAAGAACAGAATATTAATTTCTAAAATCTTCTTACAACCAATTCAATGTAATTTTGATATCTCAAGCTTATCTTTTATCCATTTTGAAACTGCTTGATGGTTATAGGCTTCAATGTCATGAATGTGTACAGAGCTGATTTTCTTTACCTTGTGGTCTTGCACATTTCACATAAGAAAATTGCTCTTTTGCATGCAGGAAATAAACAAAGAGGATTAAATTTGTATCCAAAACACTTGATTTTACTTGAAATCCAGGATATATGATGACAATGTAAACAACTTCCAGTCAGTTTTGTCCAATGATTTTTTTATCTCTCACATTAAAGAGCTCACAATTATCAAAGGGAGATAATTCAAATTTTAAATGAATGTCAGTTATTTTAATCATAGATTTCTTATATTTATAGATAGAAAAGTGAGCATTTCTTATCGAAAGAATGGGTGGACTTAAGTGTCCAGAAAAAATGCGGAAAATTAAAGTGTTATAAATTATTTATTTCTTTCCATCATAAAAATCCCTGATATCTTAATCGTGTATTCTTGGTACAGATATGAATTTAAAACGCTCTTTTCAAGAAACTAGATAAATATCGAAGGCATTGGGCCCGAAGATTTCTTGGATATCAATAGGTAATCAGGGTCACACGTTTTTCATTGTCTGAATACACAGTCAGCGCATGCTTGTCGGCTGTTCTTAAGAAAACTGTAGTTGTATATTGAACAAAATAATGTCATATTAAAAGGAGAATAGCCGACAAACGTGCACTCATACTTAATTTTACAAAAACATGTTCAAAACAAACTTCTCGCTTCCATTGTTATGACTACGTTAACCTTGATTTGACTTCGATTGATCTGTCGAATATTACAGTTCATCACGTGATGACCACCTGCGAGAAAACAATCGTGAAAACAATTACATTGTATTCTTCAACCTGACCTCGATCTAAATCACGTCTTAGAGCATGTTTGGTTGCAATATTTTCAAAATTTAGCAAATTAAATGTTATTGTAATTTTGCGTGTTTTGTTAAATTTCATATTGACGTTGCTGTAATATACCATACATATACTAGCATTCGAATTTCTAAAGAGGAAGAGAGAGAGAAGAAGAGAGAGATGTCGACACTGACGCCGATTGATAGCCCCACCTTCCATTAATATTGATCATGTGACCTAAAAACCACTTCGGGTACATGTCAAATTCTAATGTATCGTTGCTTCAATTTTGATTCATAGCAACAAGGCATTGCTTTTGTACAAATTTTCTACCTAACATAATCATGTATACATAGCTCTTTCTATTGCTTGTAAAATAGTTTGGATTCACTTCATTTACAGCTTGGTAGAGGAATCGCAAAAAGATCCAAAACAGGGCGTTAAGTCCACTCATTCTTTGTCTGTTGTCTGTCGTCATCATTGTCGTTGTCATAAACTTTTCACATTTTCATCTACTTCTCAAGAACCACTGGACCAATTTCAACCAAACTTGGCACAGGGTATCCTTGGTTAAAGAGGATTCAAGTTTGTTCATTTGAAGGGCCACACCCTCTTCCAAGGGGAGATAATTAGTGAAAATTGGGTGGGGTTATTTAAAAATTGTCTTGATATTTTGCTTACTATTAGGACTAGGATCATCAAATCTTGTCAGTTGATGCATAAGGACCTCATATCATGTTGACTCAAAAGTAGGTCACAGTGACCTACTTTTCAAATTTTGTGGCCTTTCTTTTTCAAAATGATTTAGAGGCATATTTTGAACAATTTAATGCCTATGATCATCGAACTTTCTCAGTTGATGCATCTTGGTTCTTCGGAGTAGGTCGACTGAAAAGTAGGTCACCATGACCTACTTCTGAAAATTTATGGCTTTAATCAAATATTTCTGGTACTAATTGGCTTAGAATCATCATACTTTGTCAGTTGATGCATCTTGGGTCCTCAGAGTTAGTCAACTGAAAAGGAGGTCACTCTGATCTATTTTTAAAATTTTATTTTTTCTTTTAAATATATCAGGTACTTATTGGCTTAGAATCATCAAACTTTGTGAGTTGATGCATCTTAGATCCTCAAAGTATGTCATCTGAAAAGTAGGTCACTGTTACCTACTTTTGAAATTTTATGGTTATAATTTTAAAAATATTTTAGGTATGAATTGGCTTAGAATCATCAAACTTAGTTGCATCTTGGGTCCTCAGAGAATGACAAGTGATAAGTTGGTCACCATGACCTACTCTCAGGTACTAATTGGCTTAGAATCATCTTGGGTTCTCAGAGTGTTTAATCTAAAATGTAGGTCATGATGACCTACGTTTGGAATTTCAAGGCTTTATCTAAATATACAGGATACTTAGAGGCTTCAAATAGAAGTGATAGGTTGTACAGTTTATCAGAAGAGCGATTCAAGGCCCTTGGGCCTCTTGTTTCTTTTTCCTAGCCAAAGTGCTCATGTGAGCAATGTGGCCCATGGGCCTGTTGTTTAGTTGTCTTGTGTATATGAATATAGCTACTTAAATATAAATATATCTCAAAAATGTGTATTCTGATACTCTTAACCAGTTAATCAGTTGAAATGTCTTGCAGTTTATCAATTAGCAATTCCGTAATATTTATATGAAAGCATAATCTGAAAGTGCAGTTTAATTTTAATCATGTATATTGTGAAAATATTCTGATGAAGAACAGCAGGGCCAAGGTGAATCAGTAGAGCATTGTGGCCCATGGGCTTCTTGTTTGGTATTATTATATTATAATAGATTGGCAAACCACTCAAACCTCATTATCTCAAGTCAATGGGACTGAGAAAAAAAGATATCCAAGGATTCGAGATATCAAGGGTAAAATACTAAAAGCCTTAGAATATGTGGTTCGGATTTCAAAATCACTGACATATCCATGATAAGATAATGGTGTTCATGTTACCGAAGTTCAACTGTATATATTTTAGCAGTACTCTTGTTTCTAAAACTAAAGCTGAAACCAGGAGAGGTACATTTTTGATATGTACTTGTGGTTTATTTTGTAGGCATCTGTTTCTTTAAATCGATTGCAAAAGTTTTTGAACCACAGTGAACTTGATAATGATGCTGTACAGAAAGACAAAGAGAGCAGTAAGTAGCTGGATTTTTTATCTTTCAGTATTTTTATAAATTTAGTTCTGAAGCAAATTTTTTCTCCAACTCAAGATATTCATAGTTTCATAAAAGGCTCAGAGTTCTTCTTATGAAAGTATATTGGGCATCAGTAGCTCTGTACATCATTGATTTCCCTTATCAGTGAGGCCTTTCAACCTTTTGTGTCTGTTAAATGTCCACCATCATTTAAGAGCTTTAAACTACCTATTCACAAAAACACAAGTGAAAAACTACAACACACGTTTTGATTATATCAATGTAAGGACTGGTTTCATTACTTTTTACATGAAAAGATTAATTTTTGCAAAATCAAGCTATAGTGAATGTGAATTATATACCTGATTTGACAAATTCTTGACAAAGTAAGAAATTGACAGAATTTAAGAGCCATTCTCTATAATGACTTGAACTAGAGGAGCTGTGGCACGCATAGTCTCAGAATTTCTCCAAACTCTCTAGATAAAAGTCTTTGATACCGTAAACTCAATTCAGGCAAAAATTGGTTGCTACCTGTCATGGTTACCATGGCAACGTTTCCTAAAGTTTGAAAAATGGCTTTTTTCAACATGTTCAGAGCCCCATAGTTAACGTTTGCAGCAAAATTTCAAACAAGTGGCAATGACTGTTTCTGAAAGTTGAAGGCCTGATGTCCTAAATGCATGATAAACATGTTTGGGAAATCAACTTTTACATATGGTACTATGGAGACAAAGTATTCAAAAGTAATAATTTCATTCATTCATCTTTATCAAGTCATACACTGAAAAATAAAAACAATTATGGGTTGAAGTGCAACCAAATAGGGTGAGTTAACCATGCATCGGACACATACCTTGCTTCGGACAACTTTAAGCAATAAACTTTCATTGATCTTGAGTCTCCCCATGTTTTTACTTGTTTCTGTCTTAAAGGTGAACATTTAAGCTTTTTAATGATGCCGATTTTTATTTTCATGTTGTGATAAAAATACCACAAGAATGGCCTTGAAATTACGTCATATTTTGCATCATCAAAGGGGAGAAACCAGAATTTTACTATTTTGCAATTTTAGAATTGTCGTTCTTTTAAATAGACGTCAACAGAATGAGTCGGACCTGAGTAAAATTTGTGAACGATTGACAATTTTTAAGAAATTTGTCAAAAATTTTACTTCAATGTTTGTATAATATTTTTAGAGCTGTTTTTAGCTCACCTGAGCTGAAAGTTCAAGTGAGCTTTTCTGATCACATTTTGTCCGTAGTCTGTCTGTCCATCTGTCTGTCTGTCCGTCTGTAAACTTTTCACATTTTCGACTTCTTCTCCAGAACCACTGGGCCAATTTCAACCAAACTTGCTACAAAGCATTCTTGGGTGAAAGGGGCTCAAGTTTGTTCAAATGAAGGGCCATGTCCTCTTCCAAGGGGAGATAATTGGTGAAAATTTGGTGTCATATTTTAAAAATCTTCTCAAGAACCATTGGGCCAGAAAAGTTGAAACTTAAATGAAACCTTCATTACATAGTGTAGATTCAAGTTTGTTCAAATCATGACCCCCCAGGGTAGGGTGGGGCCACAATGGGGGATCAAAGTTTTACATCAGAATATATAGGAAAAAATCTTTAAAAATCTTCTGAAGAAGAACAACAAAGCCACAATTAGTCATATTGATATGGAATCATTCTCAGGTAGTGTAGATTCAAGTTTGTTCAAATCATGACCCCTGGGGGTAGGGTGGGGCCACAATGGGGGATCAAATTTTTACGTAGGAAAATATAGAAAACAATTTTCAAAAATCTTCTTCTCAAGAACAACAAAGCCACAATTAGTTATATTGATATGGAATCATCCTCAGGTAGTGTAGATTCAAGTTTGTTCAAATCATGAACCCCCGGGGTAGGGTAGGGCCACAATGGGGGATCAAAGTTTTACATAGTAATATATAGTAAAAATCTTTAAAAATCTTTTTATCAAGAACAACAAAGTCACAATTAGTTATATTGATATGGAATCATCCTCAGGTAGTGTAGATTCAAGTTTGTTCAAATCATGACCCCCTGGGGTAGGGTGGGGCCACAATGGGGGATCAAAGTTTTACATAGTAATATATAGTAAAAATCTTTAAAAATCTTCTCAAGAACAACAAAGTCACAATTAGTTATACTGATATGGAATCATCCTCAGGTAGTGTAGATTCAAGTTTGTTCAAATCATGACCCCTAGGGTAGGGTGGGGCCACAATGGGGGATCAAAGTTTTACGTAGGAATATATAGAAAAAAATCTTTAAAAATTTTCTTCTCAAGAACAACAAAGCCACAATTAGTCATATTGATATGGAATCATCCTCAGGTAGTGTAGATTCAAGTTTGTTCAAATCATGACCCCCCCCCCCCCCCCCCAGGGTAGAGTGGCAGACATCTTTAAAATTCCATTTTCAAGAACAGCAAAACCATGATTAGTTATATGAATATAGAAGCATCCTCAGAAAGTTTAGATTCAATTTCATTCAAAACATGTCACCTGGGGTAGGGTATTCCTAGAACAGGCAATCAAAGCTTTACATATGAATATATAGGAGAAGAAATCTACTGACGAAGAAAGCAAGGCCATATTGACTCAGGTGAGCATTGTAGCCCATGGGCCTCTTGTTTACTAGTATGTTTATTTCACCGTACATCAGACACAAATTAACCATGCATCGGACACTTTTCGATGAAAGGGTAATCACTTCCATTTTCATATAAAACCCAAATGACAGCTGGTTTTATGGAAATAGAAAATAAAAACTCTAAATTTTCAGTGAAAATACAAGTTATCGATATATGACAACTAGAAGTGGACTCAATTTAATTCTTTAAACTAGATGGTGATAACTCACGAGACAAAGGCACGAGTTGCCATATTACTAGTACTGTAAAGCTTTTCTAAGGTGATGTGATGCAATAAATTTCTACTGAAGTACTGACGATGCACAAAAAGGTGATTTTGCAAGTCTAGGAGTCATGTTTTATCATCTCTAATAAGTCTCCAGTTCATATCTTTTGTCGTTCTTTAGGTCTGCCGCGGAGAAAATTCCATTTTAAAAATCAGGGAATTGCCTGGAACATTGAACCGGAAGTAAATTTTTCCAAAATGGCTTTTAAAAACAATGGCTTTTTAAAATGCACTGTTTCTGATAGTATGATAAAAAAAACACTGAAAATTTCTTGAGATATCACGTGAACAATATTTGTCTAAAAAATATTAATAATAATTATATTTATTTTCAATTTTCAAACAAATTATACATAAAGCATTCTGAAAAGAGCCTTTATTAACCTTACTTAAATCATCGAAGTATATTGAAAAACAAAAAAAAAATGTTAAATTTGGCTTTTTCATTCGCTTCCGGTAGTGACCGGAAGTAATAACAACGCACAAAAAAGAGATTCTGCACATCTAAAAGCCATCATCTATCATCTCTAACAAGTCTCCAGTTCAGTTTTATAGCCTTTTTTGAAAAAGAGGGGTGACAAAATTTCATTTCAAAATCAGAAAACTGTCCATAACTTGGAACCAGAAGTGAATTGTTCAAAACTTCTTCCATATGTATCAATGGCATGTAATAGCGCATTATCCCTGAAAGTTTGACGAAAAACCACTGAATAGTTCTCAAGAGAGCGCGTGCACAGTATTTGTCTAAAAAATATTAATAATTATAAAATTTATTATCAATTTTCAAACAAATTATATATTATGCATTCTGAAAAGAGTCTCTATTAACTCTACTAATATCATCAAAATATATTGAAAAACAAAAATGTTGAAAAATTCTACTTTTTAGCTCACCTGAGCCAAAGGCTCAAGTGAGCTTTTCTGATCAAAATTTGTCTGTTGTCTGTCGTCGTTGTCATCATTGTCGTTGTTGTAAACTTTTCACATTTTCATCTTTTTCTCAAGAATCACTGGGCCAAATTTAACCAAACTTGCCACAAAGCATCCTTGGGTAAAGGGGATTCAAGTTTGTTCAAATGAAGGGCCATGCCCTCTTTCAAGGGGAGATAATTAGGAATTAGTGAAAAAATAATGGCATCATTTAAAAATCTTCTTCTCAAGAACCACTGGGCCAGGAAAGATGAAACTTATGTGGAAACATTCTCAGGTAGTGTAGATTCAATTTTGTTCAAATCATGACCCCCGGGGGTAGGGTGGGGCCACAATGTGGGATCCAAGTTTTACATAGAAATATATAGGAAAATATCTTTAAAAATCTTCTTCTTAAGAACAGTAAAGCCAAGATTTATATGGAAACATCCTCCGGTAGTGTGGATTCAAGTTTGTTCAAATCATGACCTCCGGGGGTAGGGTGGGGCCACAATGGGGAATCAAAGTTTTACATAGATATATATAGGAAAATATCTTTAAAAATCTTCTTTAGAACAGCAAAAGCATGATTGGTCATATTTATATGGAAGCATCCTCAGGTAGTGTAGATTCAAGTTTGTTCAAATCATGACCCCCGTGGGTAGGGTGGGGCCACAATGGGGGATCCAAGTTTTACATAGAAATATATAGGAAAATATCTCTAAAAATCTTCTTCTTAAGAACAGTAAAGCCATGATTGGTCATATTTATATGGAAGCATCCTCAGGTAGTGAAGATTCAAATTTGTTCAAATCATAACCCCCGGGGGTAGGGTGGGGCCACAATGAGGGATCAAAGTTTTACAAGAAATATATAGGAAAATATCTCTAAAAACTTCTTAAAAACAGTAAAGCCATGATTGGTCATATTTATATGGAAGCATCCTCAGGTAGTGAAGATTGAAATTTGTTCAAATAATAACCCCCGGGGGTAGGGTGGGGCCACAATTGTGGATCAAAGTTTTACAAGAAATATATAGGAAAATATCTCTAAAAACTTCTTAAAAACAGTAAAGCCATGATTGGTCATATTTATATGGAAGCATCCTCAGGTAGTGAAGATTGAAATTTGTTCAAATAATAACCCCCGGGGGTAGG